CTGGTACTTTGTGTGTATTAAATGTCTGGTTTCTAAACATGAGAACAAAGCCCATCAGATAAAGGGCCGCAGGATGTCCTGCTGACTCAGCGGCCTACAATGCCCATCACGCATGTGCGTCAGAGCGGCTCTGGAGGTGATTAATCCGCCGTCCGTCATCTCTCCCACCTCCACCGTCGCCGCTATTCATTTCAGCAAAAGTGCCTGTCAAAGCTTGAACGCTTGACTGGAATTACAGTGTAACCGTTTCCTCCTGGTGTGTCCCAGTTTGACGGCTCAATGTAGGCCACTTCTGAGCCCCGAAGGCCGAGGAACAGTGTGTCATAAATCTCAGGTGTGGAAACTGATCTGATCTGATGCAGCACCCAGCGGTGCGACGCCGGCTTCGCTCAGAGGAGGCGGAAACCTGAGCGACGAGCACACACGTCCAGCTCTTAAACACACACACCAGCACGCCTCCCTCGATGAGGATTTGATGGCGTCCAGCTCGCCCAGGCAGAGCCGGTTTGAATGACCATCAAAGAAATGAGCAGGAGCAGGACGTTGATGTGTGCATTTTTAAAACCCGTCTTGATTTAGCTGATGGACTCGGCTGTGCAACTTCACTTTCATACCAGATGATTCTAAATGCTGATTTCTAAATTGACAAGTCGAGTACAGCCGTGACTCAATAATCAACCCTTAACAATCCTAAACCTGCTATCCGTCAGGTTTTTAGGAAAAACAAACGGAACCCATGAAAAACAGCCTTAACATACCGACAGCCTTGGATTCTGACTCCGACATACCACGTGGTAACCCTAACCCTCTTTGTATCTCGACCTCCATCTTGACAATCTGACAGCCTTGCTATCCGACATAAAACAAGGTTTTATATTTAGTGTCGGATTATCGAGTCACAACTGTATTTCCATTAATACACTATTTAAACAGCTCAAAGCCTAGAGTCTGGTGCAGAACAGTCAGAGTGCACGTCATGATGGTTCTGCTGTAGTTGGTGTTTCTTTAAACCTGTCACAGTCATCTGGGGTGGGAATAAAAACAGGATGCAGCAACGCGTCAAACTTTTCTTCCTGTAGGCTACTGCTCAGAGGTTGTTGCCGTTGTTTTCTACAGTGAAGGAGAGTTTAAAAGCACGTAGACAATGTTAAATGTGCAGCCAATGGGCGTCCCTATAACTCACCTAGTTGAGCAGGCTACACATGAACAGGGGCTGTAGCTCCCCGATGCAGCAGTCGTGGGTTCGACTCCCGCTGCAGGTCTCTCCGCATTCATCTCCCCCCGTCCTGTCTTTCTCTACTGCTCTTAAGAACGGCAAAACGCCCAAAAACTATCATTTATTTTTTTAAAAAGTGCAGCCAATTACAGGTTTATACCCGAAGTCTACGTCTGGTGAGTCAGGCTAACTTGGCTGCAGACTCTTAATCTTTTCATTTTTTGTTTTTCTCTGCAGCTTCAGTGAACCGTCGCTCCTCAGCCCAAATGAAAACATCCAGTTTGAGGGATTATCCAGCAACCGCCGCGCCAGTGTTCTACAGAAGCGACCTCCACCTCCTCCTCCGTTCAGTAAGTCGTCCGGCCTGCTCGGCTGTAGAACCTGGCAGCCTCGTCAGCAGCAGCAGGTCCAGAGCTGCAGCAGGCCCACGTACATCCACTTCTCCCAGGCCATCCAGCCCGGCTCCAAGCCCAGACCAGCCAGACGGCATTCGCACAACCCGGCGCTGAGTTGCGAGGCGCTACAAGGTGACCTCCAGGGATCAGCGGCGCAGCACCGGACCTCCCCGTCCTGGGACGAGCCTCTGTCCGTGGTGGGGAAGCCCTGTCTGCTGAGCTGCAGCCAGCGTTCGGCTGCTGTTGGTCCGACCCGAGCTCAGCTCCACGTGTTTCTGCCCAGCGAGGCCGAAGGAGAGGAGGCAGACAGCGAGTCTGTGGACGAAGGCTTCATGGACGAGCTGGACAGTAAAATAACGTCTCTGAAGCTTCGGCAAGGAGCCCAGAAGACAGTAACACAGCCCTCATAGACAGAGCATGAACCCAGGGTGGTGGTTCTGTAGGGACAGACGTGTCCGTGTTACTCTGTGTACTTAAAGCTGTTTTCATATTATTTGGCAAGCATCACCTTGTTCAGGTAAATAACAATAAAAGGGCAAAAATTAAAACGGAAAAAAAAAAAAAGGTACAAAAACCAGAAAAATTCTGGGTGTTGTGGCACCAAAAATACTATAAAATAATAGAAAATAACCATCATGTAGAAAAACAGGAATTTCTATAATAAAAACATATTTTCTAGTATATTTTACAAAAGATCATGGGTATTTCTTTTTTTTTGGCTTAAATGTTTCATTCAGAATATGAACATTTGTAAAAACAATGAAATTACTTGTGTACTTGTAGAACAGTAAAACATATATATTAATATGGATCGATAAACATTTTATTTATTACCATTTTCTTTTCGACATGCAAACCAAATGTCAATTTTGTAATTTTATTGATATTTTAAAAATGCAGGAAAAAAAATGTAAAAGAAAAAACACAAATTCTGGGACCATCACTTCTTTTTCTGATAATTGTCACAAATTTTGTCTAATTTCAGAAACATATTTACAGTATTAAACTTAAATTTAACAGTTGCACCTGTTGTGTATGAAGTAACTATTACCCTGAATTTGCAGATCTATTTTAACAATCTTTTTATGTCATTTTCTTAAAGAAAAAAGAAGTTATTCACATACACAGGTTTTTCATGTTATTTTACATTAACCTTGTAAATTTCCAGTCTATTGATTTTTTTGTGTATTAAAAAAAATTAAATTGCAGATTTTTTTTTGTTTTGTTTTTGTTTTTACAGTGTAGTAGTACCTTGGACAGACCACCACAATAACCCTGTGCACAAAGCCATGTCCTACAGACGCTGTTTCATCGGTTTCCTCTGTCAGAATTTGACATACAGTCCTGAACTCAAACCAGCACCGTCAGGATGAACTGGAAAACCAAACAAAAACACAAACCAGACCTCATCACCCAACATCAGTGACGGAAAACGTTCCCAGCAGCGTGCAAGATGCTCGTAAATTAGGAATGAAACGTTTAATATTCATGGTGTCTACATACTTCTTTAAAGCTGCCTGGATCTTCATGTCTGTTTACACAAGAAAGGAACCTCAGAGACAAACGAAGAAACATGAAAGTGATTCAGATTCATAAAAGAATCTGTATGTAAATCAGTGAGAAAACTTGAGACAGTTAATGGAACACAGAAATACTTTTACAACCTCAAAATAAAACAAACCCTTTTGTATGTTTGTGTTTCTTCCAGTGTTTGTATTAAAGCACGTCTTTATGTGAATACAGCGTGTTGTGCACGTCGGTTATTTATGTGTTGTGTGAGGATGGAGAAGGAACTAAAGCTTGTCAACTATTTAAATAATCACCAACTATTCTGATAGTTAATTATTTGGTTTAATTCATTTTTAAATGTTTTTTCCATTATTATCGTGTAATTTGGGAATATTCTGCTATTTCATGCTACCTGACAACAATCAGCGATAGCCGGGATTTAAAAAAAAAACAAAAGATCAGGATTGCATTTTGAGATTTTTTTTATGTTTCTCCTGAGAATTTTTGTATTTTCATCCTCATAATAACATCAACAGCTTTAAGTTGTGTGCTCAGCTTATTACAGCAGTTCACAGTGATGGTAGTCGTACTCTTTTCAAGGAGGCTGAGCTTCGACCAAACTCGCATGTCTGTGAAGATTCTCAGTCATCCAGGTCACGATTATTCTCGTGCTTCAGTCGTCGCAACTGGACTTGCTTGAGTTTCTGAAGACGTTCCACCTCTCATCCAAGTCTGACTGACTAGTTGGGAGTTCCACATACTTATATCCTTAAGGAGCCATTAACACCTGAGGTCTAGTTACAACTGGGGGGTTGTTGCTCCTCCCCCTCATTATTCGAGTCATTAGGACTCCCCCTGCCACAATGGAGTTGGTTAGGGTCTTTTGTGGCTCGGTGTGAATGTGGTTCCATCTTCCTGGGGAGAGATCTTAGGACTGAGCTGTAAACAGGTGAGAGGTGATGCCTCAGACCTCCACCTCTGCTGAGGGATGGTCTTTCCAGTTTGACATAGATGGCCTCTTTCACTCCTCTCTCAAACCATCTGTCCTCCCTGCAGGCCAACATCTGTACATTAATGTCTTCAAATGAGTGTCCTTTGTCCTTAAGATGCAGGCAGACTGCTGCGTCCTGTCCTGAGGAACTGGCTCTTTCTTATTACCTCCCTCCAGCCTGTTATTGGCATCAACGCCCCGTCACACTTGAACCTGTTCTGTGTTCTTATCCAGGTTGTTTTCTGCTGACTAGATCCTTGCTTGTGTTGTATCTGCTCTCAGATGTATGTCGTGTTGGATAAAAGCGTCTGCTAAATGAAGTTGTAGAATTCTGTGTTGTGCCATGTGGTTGTGTAGCGGTTGTTTTGTCCCCCAAGCGTACAGGTCTGGACATTCCTCGCTGCTCTGGACTGCCTAAACCACGTTGCTGTGTTCTGCTGTTCTGCTCCTGGACCTGGATTCCTTATCCTGGTCCACTGATCCTGGTCCTGGACTACTCCTCCTGGTCCTCTGGTCCTGGTCCTGGACTCTTCTTCCTGGTCCTGGACTCCTCTTCTTGGTCCTCTGGTCCTGGTCCTGGACTCCTCCTCCTCCTGGTCCTCTGGTCCTGGAGAAGGAAAAAAAAATTGTTTTCTTTTCTTTTTACTTTATAACATTGATTAGAAGAAGAAGAAGAAGAAGAAGAAGAAGGAGGAGGAGGAGGAGGAGGAGGAAAAGAAGAAGAAAGAGGAAAAGATGAAGAAGCACAAGGATGAAAAGAAGGGTTTTAAAAAAGGATGAGAAGAAGGAGGAGATGAAAAGAAGAAGAAAGAAATGAAGATGAAGGCGAGCGGAGGCTCCAGACGGTGGCGGTAACGTGACGTCCCTGATGCCGTAAAACGATAAACGAAGAAGAAGAAGAAGAACTCAAACGCTCTGCAACCAGCCAGACTGGGTCCAAATGTGGTAGTCGGGGGTCACCGTTGAAACACTTCACAGGTTGAGAGTCTGTTTCAAAGCACTTAGTCGTATTCTGTGTGTACAACCAGGGGGTCGGGACTTAGGAGCAAACATGGCGGCTACGGAAACTGGCGATGGACACCAACGTCTGGCCACCAATCAAGTCCCGTCTGTCCAAGTCGCTGGCGCGGTAATTTTCTGCACGTTGTTACGGCTCTGTCCTACACTCTTTAACACCTTTCACACAGCAAACACAACGTTTCTACACATGACTACTAACACACGAGTTATCTGTTGAATGTGGCGGTCGGTTGGCGGCGTGTGAGCTCAAAAAGCAGAGCTAATGTTAGCCAGCTAACGGGCAGCCGGGGAGGCGTGTAGGTTTGTACCCGAGCTAGCGTTAGCCTAGCAAGCGGTGAGCTAGTTCTGCTTTTGTTTATAAAACAACAACAACAATAATAACAACAACAACGTGGCTGTAATCCGAGGGAGCGACTCGCACGGAGGTAAAGACGACGGAGATGTCCGGAGCAGCGTCGGGCTGCAGATGTTGGTCACAGCTGTGCAGGCGGCGGCGCTGATTGTGTTTACATTGCGAGGACAAGCTAACTTGCTTGTTTTGTTTGATGGAAATGCACGATTAAAACACGCGCAGTAACGTTTACCATCACCACGGCTGTGCTAATGTGGGTTTTTACACTCTGTGTTGTGGTACATTTGTCAGTTTTATTCATGCACGTCTGCTCTGAGGACTTCAGCTAGCTTCTCTGCAAAGTTAGGTTGCTAAATCTTTGCCAACGGGCATTTGGGCATGCACAATGAACCAGCCCTATCAGTGAAACTACAACTTAAATGTCTCTCACTATCTGTGATTCTACAGCTGCACTGAGTATTTATAATCTGTTGCAGCTCTATTTAGCAGAAGTAGTCAAACCTCAGTGAGACAGACACTGAACACCTGAGCTTCATCCTGCTGCACACCAACTCAGCAGTATTTTTACTGTCTGTACAATCAAGTTTTATTATAAGTTGTGTGTAAAACGCCACTAGCACAGACAAAAAGTCACGATGGAATAAGAACTAAAGCTGCAACGCTTAATCGTTTTGTTGTCAACTATTTAAATAGTCACCAACTATTCTGATTATTTGATTTAATTATTTTTTAAATGTTTTCCCATCATTATCATGTCATTTGGGAATATTCTACTATTTCAAATTACTGGACAACAATCAGAGATAGCCTGGAATAACAAACAAAAACCGACGAGGACTGAATTTTGAGAATTTTTTATGTTTCTCCTGGGATTTTTTGTATTTTCATCGTCATAATAACATCAACACCTTTGAGGATGGAGGACAGACTGTAGAGATAACCGATACAGGATGGACTGAGTCGGACGAGGACCGTATCTCTGTTTGCAGCAGCACAGCTTCTGGTCCGTCCCTCCTACATCATGTCACCCCCAAGAAAACGAAGCCTTGGCGGGGCCTGTGCCCACCCTGTAGGAAGATCTGTCAGAAGGCCAAGAGAACAAAAGCACCACTCAAAAACAAACTCCTTGACATTGATCTCTTGTGTGATCAGTTTATTACAACAGTTCACAGTAATGTTAGTCATGCTTATTTAGCAGAAGTAGTCAAGCCTCAGTGAGACAAACACTGAACACCACAGCTTCATCCTGCTGCACATTACCTCAGCAGCAGTTTTACTGTCTGCACAATTAACCTGAAGTTTTGTAATAAGTTGTGCGTAAAAACGCCACTAACAGACACAAAATCATGTTTGTGGTGACCACTGATGAGTATTGTGTAACTAATGCCAACTGCAGCCCTTTTTAGACATGAGTTGCTGCTTCATCAGTCAGTTAAAGGGGGGATGAAGCACACAGCCAAGTCGACATAAACCACTACATACATCTCCATCCTCATCAGAAGACGACTGAGGAGCCACAGGTCAGAAGACACAAGGGAGGCCACTACTGCATTGCTCCTGGATGTGGGAATGAATTTTACAGGGTTAAAGCCACGGGCAAAACAATCCACTTTCATCAGCTGCTGGTAAAACGGAGAACGGTGCTGAGGCGCTGGATAGAGGCCCTGACGAGAGACCCTCCAAAGGGCTCTGGCTCCAGGCTTTGTAGTGACCACTTTTTGGAGGAAGATTATGTTGAGAAGAGGGCGATCGAGTTCGACAGGCTTGTTGTTTTCCGGACCAACAGACTAAAGCCCGATGTTTTTGGTTTTCAGTTTTACCGCCTGTAATGGTTGCTCTGCCGGCTCCACAACAAATTCTGAAAACAGCCGTACGGTGGAATCAGTCAGGAAAAGGGCGCTAAAACGGGGCAGTCAGGCAAGAAAAAGACAGGTAGGGAGCTTAGCAACCCGCAGGAATATACCAAACAACACACTGACTGTTCAATGTAACATAAATGCTCTTATATTGAGGATGTGATCTCTAAAAACATGTATTTCTGTGCTCCATAGTTGCCTTTATTTGTCTCAAGCAAAACAAGGTGTACACAACAACAACAACACACAGACATTCAAAGTTTTGAAATTTACATTTAGGTCAAGCAAAGTTATTCAGGATGTTGCGATCCTATCTAGACTCAGGTGAATTAATTTATGCTTATCTAGTAATATTTGTGAAATATTGTACTTAAAATAACTTAATATGCACAAATGTTTATTAGCTGCACCTTTAATTTATTTACAGGCGTATGTTTAGGTGTCACATCATCTCATTGACATTGGGGTTCATTTGATTATTATTTATTTTTTAAAGTTTCGCCACTGGTTTTGGACATTATCTCCTTTAGGGGTTATTTTCTATTGCTGACATCCAAATATCCAAACACTCAAACTATTGACTAAAGAGCACTTAAGTTTATGCCGTTGTCCTAAATTTAGAGAAGTGTGAGAAACGACCTCTACCTAAGAAATACAAAAATCAGAAACAATCTTTTCAAACCCTGGGAATAATTATTAGTTGTTTAAATTACTCATTTTGTAAAGGAAGAAAGTCATCCAGAAAATAAACCTGCAGCTCCCGTCGTAGAAACCGTCTGAAAACAATCAGATTTGGAATAACTGAAGGTTAACTGAATAAAAAAGTTTTTTTTTTAATGTTCCACTAGTTAACTAATCACAATTTCAAGACGATACTTGCGTTTGCAGAAAAGAATCAACATTTTTAGTTATAAAAGATCAACAAGTGAAAATGTTCATTGTAATCTATTGAGGGACAACTTTAACAGTTACTTCTTGCTATTAAGAATTGGTATTTACCTGTGTAGTTATAAAGCCCAACTGTTTATTTATACTACATCTATTAACAAACTGCTATCCATCCTTGTGTAATAATATGTTTATGATGTTGTGAATGTCACTGAGATAAACTCCACAAGTCTGAAATTTGGGTTTCCTAAAAAATGCAGCAACAAAAAAAGAATCGAAAAGTACCGGATAAGCAGTACCTGTAAGAGTAGTAGTACTGTTCTATCTTAATAGCCATCCCTACTCAAAACAAGCTGACTAAACTATCAAAAATAGTTAAGTTATGATTTCCCAAACATTGGAAATTCAGTTGATGTGTGATGATAATCTAACTACGACTTCACCAACAGTAAAATAAAACCATCCAGACAGCTGTGATGGAGCTCAGGACTCAACCTCAGGATGGTCGCTATGCAACAAACGATTGACGAAAGGTACGCGGTGTTGTTTACCGTCTGATCCTGACGTATCCTGCCTACATGCTGGGAATAATTCATAATCATAAGTAATCAGTGAAGCTACTGTGTGAAGCTCTCTCACTCACATGACTCCTGCTGCAGGCATTTAATTAACTCAGAGGAAAGACTCCTGCAAACAGATGGAAGCAACAAACAAAACATCTGCTCCTGTTAACATTTTTGCACAAAACCTGGATTATATTTGTTATATTTAACCTGTTGTAGGCTCTGTCTTTATCACATTAGTGTTTTATTTTCATTCACATTTAAGTTTGCAATAGGTGCAGGGCAACACGAAGGAGTTGGATGGAGACAGTTTTCATTTTAAACACCAAAAATGTTTTGAGAATGAAGCCTCAGATGTTCAAGTTATTCATTAATCACATTTTTAATAGTGTTCCAAGTTACTGAAGATTTAAAATGTCAATGTAAACTTGCTCCCTGTGACTCTCACCTTTAAAAAAAATCTATGTTGAGGTGCTTTTTACTCTGTAAGTTAAAGGTTTTGAAATAAATATGCAAACTTCATACTGATATCTGGGGGTTTCTGTTTTTACTCAGCAGGGTTGATGAATAATATTTAATTTAAATATAAAATAAAGCTTTAGAAGGTTAACTTTTCCTTGTGCTGCACAGGTAACAAAGGAGGCCGACGGAGAGTCCATGGAGGCAGCTTCAGAGCCAGCAGCGTCGGAGGATGTTGGAGACCCAGAGCCTGTTACCGGGTCTTCCCATAAACTTTCTGAGCAGGAAGAGGAGGATGAGGTTGTTGCTGCTAAACAAGAAACAGAAAACACAGAAACACAACAGAAAGAAACTGATCCTGAGGAGGCGGCGTCCAGATCTCCATCTCAGGCCGCAGAAGAGACGATCAACACGGTTACAGTTCACAGTGGCGGCGAGTCGGAGTCTGAAAAAGAGGGCGTCGAAGTGAAAACTGAGTTTGAGGAAAAGGAAGAAAACACGGTAGCGCAGGACAGCAGCTCAGGGGAAAGTGTAGCGAAGCCGAAAGTCAACGAGGACACGAACATGGACACGACTTCTGATTCCAGAGAGGAGGTAAAGCACAGTGATGGAGATGTGGACTCTAAGGAGGACAGAACACGGCAGCAGAAGGAGGCTGGTGGCTGTAAGCTGAGGGTTTCTACAGCAGACGACCTGGATGAGATGATGGACATCGGTACGGTGGACCAGGTGGAGCAGGAGGCTCAGATGAAAGAGGAGGAAGAGCTGATGGACATGGAGAGCAGCCGATCGCCCTCCGCATCTAATACAGGTAAAATACAACACAGTCTACTCATCAAACTTACAAATGTAGAGTTTAGCGATGCAGAGTATAAGTGGTGTTGCACTTGTAGGTAATTAGATGTTTCTATGGATGGCAAGTGGACAGAGTAGAGATGAAAGTAGTAATGTGTTTTCATTGAGGAACCCTTTATTGTATTTTTTTACTGTGCATGCCACCACCTAGCTTAGCACTGGTGCAGTTTAAAGAGCTTTTGGAGTAAAAGGTTGAAAACTGCTGCAGATCAACACTTTGTTTACAGAGCAGCTTCTTCACTGGATCATGCACCCAGCAAACATTTAATATATTTTAGAAAGTGTGGACTGAGTTTATTAACCCCCTGAATGTTTTCTGGGCCTGTCTTGCTCCCGTCACATTTTTTTCTCACTGCAGAATCATTTATTGCTGTAGTCAAAAAAATAAAAACAAGTCCTGTACCTAAATAGAAACAGGACAACCATGACTAGAAGTAGAGAGAAATATCTGCTGTGCAATATGACAAAGTTATAGTGCAATACATGATGAAAAAAAGGGAAGAAAAACAAAACTTTCATTTCTTTGATTATTTGTTCTGCAAAACCAGAGAAAAAAAAACCTGAAATCAACATGTGCAACACACGTGTTGATTTCACAAATGTTACCAATAATGCAAAATAGTAGCTCTACCTAATATAGATATATTTTTATTAGACTATTGATTTACTTTTTACAACCCACAAGCTTCAGCAGCTGAGATAGGAGACACTGTGCATACATCAACTGTTTCCTGGTGTCTACAAAGCTTTAAGGGAGAGTGTCAAAGAAAAAGCCAAAAAAAAATCTGAACTGAAGTTGATGTCAACTGTGGGAAGGTTTTTTAATCTGTGAGACTAAAATGGAGCTTTCTGGCCATCAGATTAGACACTAGCTGACCTCAAACACTGTACA